AATAAATAAATAATTTATCAATCAATAAAAAGTTTTTATAACAAAAATATTAATTTTCCTTTTTTTTGTTTTTTGGTCTGAAAGGAAGGGGAAAAAAAACAAATGGCAAGTATTAGAAAACTGTAATTTAGGGTTAAAGGTCTGTTTGGCTGTTTGCTTTCATGGGGTCGTTTTCTCTTTTTATAACACAAAGATTCTCAACTCAATCCCGATACGGTCGGTTTCCAATATATCGGCCGAGATATTTTATGTTTGTTTTGTAGATTTTCGACCCACTCACATATAAAGCGCGTGAACAATAAACACCAAATTCAACTACTTACTAAAATAAAAAATAAAATAAAAAAATTTTGTGTTTTTCTATTTAAAGTAACTGTTAAAGGAACTCGTATCAAATTGTTTTCTTTTTTCCAAAGGAATCCAATTGGTTGATTTTTTGGGTGTATATTGGGAAGTTCTATTCACTTGTTGGTTAGGCGCGTAGGGAAGCATCTCTCTTGGCAATTACGTTAATTTTTTTGGTCTTTGATTTTCGACTATGCTTAGAAAAATTTGTTTGTAAATTTTGTCACGGACTTGGATTTGAGAATCACCAGCAGACTACCTTGGACTTTTCATTGCGAAAAATTTGTGACAAAAAAAATTACTCTAATATCATAGTTAATTTTTTTATGTATGACGGAAACACCAAGTGACATGCTGATGTGACGTTACGAGCCTACTTAAATTATAAAACATGTATAATTATGTGAATGATAAACCTTAAATTCGTGAACTTTTAATATTAGGGGATTCAAATATTCTCTATAAAAAATATTTCCATATAATAATTAGTTTATTGATTACGGTTGGAGATGGTTATTAATCAAGAAGAATGTTGATGATTATTGGATTGTTAAACGTTGTTCTTAACTAGTCCCAATATTGATCAAATAATGATTAAGATGGTGATGATTGCTATGGTTGATGCATAAGTTTCAAGGCATTGTTGTTCCCACACACACAATATCTCAAAATCAATGTGGCTATTGATAATCAAGTTGGTAAGACATGTTTTTGTAACCAAAAGTGTGTCATGGCGTTGAGAAGTACAGCATATAGCTAGAGTTCATTAAAAGTCTAATACAAAGATGGAACGTACGATTTTTATTGCAAGAATTAATTTGCAACTCCTAGCAGATTGCTTCAAATGCAACTACCGTCTACCAACCGGTACTTATGAACCACTTTTGCATACTCTCTTAATTCAATTAAAAAAAAGTATGTTTAGACTTTCAATGGTGCCGGACTTCAGTCGCTTATCCGTACGTATACGGATGACTGATAACGATAAATCTCATATACCAATCAATGATGATCATGTATTTGTGGGCAACTATATATAGAGAAAACCTTTAAAGATAATGGCTTTTGCTTTTAACCAACCTTCTTGCCATGTCTTCTAATCCACTCAATCTATGTAAGGAAGAAATGAAAAACAAAAAGTAACAAAAGTTGGAGCTCCATAGATTTGCAGTTGCAACAAGACTTGCACGGGCATAATTATGTCTCGAGGGTTAGTTTTATTCTCCTGCAAAATTCTTATGAAAGCAAGTTTTAACTAAAATAATTATGCCTTTTTTTCCCCAATAATTTTAAGGAATTAGCAATAAATTACAAATATTTGTTTTCTAAATCAATTAACTTCGATAACAACAAATATATTTTTAGATTCAAAATTTATTTTTTGACATTTGATTTATTTCAGCGACTATAAATATTACTCTAGAATCTCGTAAATTGATTCTTAAATAAATCAGAAACACATATTTTCGTAATAAAATGTGACTAGATTTGACTGATCTAATCTAATCTACTTGGTGGTTAGTTTTCTCTCTCTTTTTGCCACCAATTAAAATGTGGAAAAATTTCAATTTCAGACACCAATTAAAACAAAGAAATAGCGATGGCTTACTTGCCGGAATGTGCAAGTAAAAGAAAGAAAATAAAAGAAAAAGAGCCAAAGAACTTTTATAAAAGGTATTTATAATGACATATATTGTTAGTACATCTGTTAAGAGTCCTCCAAACAAAGCAAAGCAAAGCAAAAGTCACAAAAAGATTGAAAGGGGCTTGCATTGCATGCACTCCTCTTCCTCCACTCCTACCAATCCACCATGCATTATTCATTTAATAAATAAATAAACACCTACTTCCCTTAATTAACATCGTCTTAAATTTAATTAATTAAACTTATAATTATTTATATGAGCTTCTAGAAGACTAGCTAGCTATTTCATGAAGGGTATTTTTGCCTTTTCACTTCCATTAATTGGATGTACGTGCCTTGTTTTTTAATAGGAAAATGTTTTTGTTGTTTTCTTCTTTCTATTCTATGCATGTTAGCTTCTGTGCTGCTGACTGTGGAGGAGAATCAGAACATCAGATCACAAAACCAAACAATAACGCGTTTTCTTATGTTGAGTATATTAAAATATGACTTCCATTTAAATTTTTAAATTTTTTATTTTATTTTATGTATGCAATAATTGTTATATTATCATATAAGATGCAGTATGGAACTTTCATTTCCTGCAACAGTTCAAACATATGGTGCAGAAATTTCCTGTTCAGTTAAATCTATACTATATTTTCAGATATTTTTTTTATAGCACAAGCGATAGTTTTAACTACAGGAGATGAAAGTTTTTCACGCACACAACCAAGATTTCATGGGGATTCGAACATGAAACCACTGGTTTGCAAGTCAAGACCATTTTTCATTGGGCTAGACTCCGTTTGCAGAGATTTTTTAAAATGAATAAAAAGGCAAATGAGAAAATGAATGAACTAATTAATATAATTTGAAGAAGCATGAAGAAAGTGAATGAACTAATTAATATAATTTAAGGACACTGAAGAGGGGATATTTCTTGCAAGAGAGAGTTGCTTGCAAATGCAATGCCCATCATGGCCTTTCATGACCCCTACCCAATTGTTACATTAATATTTAATTACCGACCCAGAAAGGAATATTTTTTTTCCAATTTGGGTGGCAATTGGCAAAATGATGCTAAGCTTTATGATCATTGCTAATTTAGAATATGATCAAGTAGTAGGAAGTGAGTTATATATATACATTAGTTAATCATTTGTGCTCCACAAAATGGAGATAAACAAATCTATTGTTAGATTGTCAATCTAAATTATTAATAAAATGAAGTTCAGATTCGTTAAAATAAAAACTAAAATTAATAATCTAACAACATAACATGTTAAGATATCGCAATTAAATATCTCGTAATTGTGTTTTTGATGACGATTTAGAAAATACAATGTGTGAGAGAGTCCAAAAGTGGCCAAGAAGATCATGACCATATATATATATATATATATACACACACGCCCAATGAAATTATGAAACTAGGGCTTTTGGCTGAGCTCTTTCCCGCCATTAAATTGGGAGGGACAGTTTTTCCACTTTGCACCGAATTGCGTGAAGCCTTAAAAAGTACAAAACAGCCAAACAGCTTTCAGTTTTTGAGATTCGTAACCCTGTTTTTCTTTCAAATACATGCGAGTGTCTTTCTGCAATACTTGTCCCGTGCCATCTTTTATGCACTCACGGTCTCACGGCACAAAACAAACCTAAATACTTCAACTTTTAGCTGTCTGTTTGGTTTAGGGCTAAATAATCTGAAATTCAAGTTAGCATTTCATACGAATCCAATGATTGTCTTAAATAAACAGAGATGCTCAAATATATCTTAAGTTATATGTTGTCGATGTGGTTTAATACTCTCAACAAAACTCCGATATTTAACACGTCACATAATTAAGTTTACATTTGTTGAAAATTCGAAACTTCACAGGACGTGACAAAAGAACAGCCGAAATAATATTTTTTGGTCATGGAATCAACGAGAGTAACTTTACGGGCTGCGTGACAAGCAATACGACGGAGAAGTACAAAAACGACACGCATCATTTATAATTAATATGCTAAGTTGAATGAGCCTTGAAGCAACAATTGTGGTTTACATTGAGTGAGGAGATAAAACAGTGCGGCGCTGAAAGCCGAATCATTAGGGGATGTGTTTGCTGTGTCGTGTACACTCGTCATGTGTGGTTTGTTTTTGGTTAGTGCGAATATATATCCAATATCCTAATGAAAAAGTGAACAATCCATGTCTCTGTCAAATATATTTTCAATTTTTTATTTACCCCAAGAAAAAAAAAATATCTCTGTCTCTCAAAATTCACGGGACCTTTTCAAATTTCAAACTTCCCTTTCACACAAACAACATACCCTAGTGGACTATGGAGTTTATACATGACTCAACATTGTATTTCAATGATTCGACAGTTTAATTTTGAAAGAAGCATTTGATTATAACACAATCATTTTAATGTTTCTTTTAAAAGAAGCATTTGTCTAATTGTTTCATCACAACTACACACCATAATGATTTACAATTTACATAATTTTGTTTCTTAAGGATGATTTATAAATGAATACTTGAAAGAAGAATAGTTTGAATTATTGAAATATAATGCGGAATGGAACTGCACAAAATGTCCCTTAATAAAAAGTATCAGACAATCGAACCGCTTTCGCTAACAAGTTGTCTCTTACTTATCTT